TCAACTCAGACTTACCTGATCAAGGATGATGATGTAGACAATATCACCTTACCTCCTATTGACCTGATTGCAGCGGTACCAGCTAATCTGGATACAGCCTGTTCCAAATCTTCGAAAGTCCAATCTACACATTTCCCGGTCTTCAATGCCAAGAAATTTGCTGGACACAATATGGACCCCTTTTTCAAGGCCCAGGATATTGATGACAACTTTAAATTAATCAGCGATGCCAAGTCCAGAAGTTACAAAGTAGACGATCGCAAATTCGCTCAACTAGATACCATCGCCAGGAGAATGTTCTTTGGATTGAATAGATCTAGAACGATTAATGAAACTCTCATCACCAAGTTCAAGAATTCTACAGAGGAGGAAGATAGAATGATCTACTCAGCTCTACTCATGCAGAAAAGAGACCACCAATTTCTTACAGAGCACCTGTCAGCGCTTACTGAAACTACTACCATGGCTCGTCAGCAAGGCTTACTAGCCTCCTGCTCTTGGGATAAGCAATTTACAGAATCTCTATACACAGCTCCATTGTCATCGCCCTTACTGTTTGGTGGCAACATAGACAAGGTCTCCAAAGAAGTATCTAAAGACTCTTATGATCAGATCCATGGATACCTTAGCGAACGTCATTAAACAGTCAACACAGAGATACTCGGGCAAGTCTAAGTTCTCAGGGCTACAGAAAGCACGGGACAAGAAATTAGCTGCAGCTAAAGATCCCAATTTAGGGGAGGATCATCTAGAGGCAGATCATCCAGAGGTGCCCTTGGATTTAGACGATGAAATTCAGGTTCGGAACGACTGGAGTCTTCCACCCCCAGCCGTTCCAGTACAACCGTCTCAAGTGGGTGGATGCCTTCAGCTACACTGGGAAAACTGGGGAATACTACAAGATCCATATGTATCCAACATCCTACAGCAAGGATATCTAATACAACTCAAGGCCAAGCCTCCGTTAACAGTCAACCCACAGGGTTCAACGTTCAACCGGCACAACTACCTATGTTAAGAGAAACAGTACTTACTCTACTAAACAAACAGGCCTTAGAAGTTCTGGATCAACGAAACATCGTACCAGGTTTCTACTTCCCAGTTTTCCTAGTGCCGAAGAAAAACTCCAAGGAGAAGTTTCGTCTCATATGCAACATGAGCATCTTCAACAGAGAATATCTATGCAAACCACCAACGTTTCGCATGATACACTTACCGAAACTTCGGCATTTAATTCGATCCCAAAGATTACATGGCCAGCATAGATTTGCAAGACGATATCTACACATTCGATTCATCCCAACTCAAGGAAATATCTAAGATTTATCCTAGACGGAAACATTACCAATGGAAGGTTCTTCCTTCGAATCACATCGCCCCTTTGGGTATTCACAAGAGTGACCAAGCCTATTGTCTCATACCTACATCGTCAAGGTCTTCGCAGCGCTTTTTACCTAGACGACGGTATACAAGTGGATCCAGATCCACAGCATCTCAGACTACAGCTGAACTTTATAATCAAGCTACTAACACAATTAGGATGGTTAGTAAATCTACTCAAGTCGGACCTAGAACCAACGCGATCTGCAATTTCTAGGTATACGATTTCTAACAGCTCAGAATCGTATTGTAGTCCCGGAAGACAGATGGATGAAGATCCAACAACTTATTCCTCAAGCCCTACTCTCTCCGTTACCACTACGACAGTGGCAGAGCCTATTGGGACTACTCACATCAGCTCAAGACTTGACAGTCAGAGGCAGGCTTCAATTACGTCCGTTACAAGTCCTCATCAATGCTCATCTCGAGGACCCTCTACCATTCAGTCTACCAGATTATGTCAAACCACATCTACTCTGGTGGACCAAGAGATTGAATGTTTGCGCAGGCGTCTCCTTAGTAGAGCCGGGAATCGAACACACATCTCTACGTAGACGCGTCACTACAAGGTTGGGGAGCCCACCTTGCTGGCAGGACAGCGTCAGGCCTATGGAGCAATCAAGAGAGCAAATGTCACATAAATCTGCTAGAGATGCAAGCAGTCATAAACGCCATAAGTCACTGGAGCAACATACTACAGAACGCTCAGTTGATGGTTCACACAGACAATTCAACAGTGGCGTTTTATGTGAACAAACAAGGTTCAACAAGGTCACAGAACCTACTGACTCGATGTTTCAGACTGTTCGATTTAATCGACAATCTAAACATACACGTCAGAGCTTGCCACATTCCAGGAGCAAAGAATGTATTAGCAGACGCTCTCTCTCGGCCACACCAACCGTCGCCGACAGAATGGATGCTCCACACAGAGATATTCAATCAAATAATCATGGAAATAGGATCTCCACTGATAGACCTATTCACCACTCGATTCAACAAGCAACTGACAACCCTCGTGTCGCCAGTGCCAGACCCACTAGCATGGGCAACGGACGCACTAAGCATATCGTGGGAGAGACTCAACGTGTACGCTTTCCCGCCTCCAGCATTGATCCCACAAGTCTTACAGAAAATCAGTCAAACGCAGAGCCTCCATCTGATTTTAGTCGCGCCCTACTGGCCAGCAAGAACTTGGTTTCCAGATCTCATTCAAGTAATGGGAAAACCAATTCTTCAGCTCCCACAACGCCAATCTATTGATACATCCGCACACCAAACAAGTGCACGAAACACCAGAAGCATTCCAACTTCACGTATGGATTGTATCAAGGCATGTCTGAATAAGAGAGGTTATTCTGCCAGAGCGGCTAAAGTGGTCACGCTTGCACTACGTAACTCAACTCGTAACTTGTACAATGACAAATGGCACAGTTTTGTCAATTACGCTGCTAAGAAAGGATTTACAGCCAGATATGCTACACATCCTCAAGTGGCAGATTTCTTATGTTATCTACGGCAAACTAAGAATCTAAAAGGCTCAACCTTGTCCACTTATCTTGCAGCTATAAGTTCTGTCATAACTATGCGAACGGGCGTCAAGTTAACAAAAACACCAGAGTTACTCGCTTTGTTACGAGCATTCCGATTGGAGGATCAGAAACGGAAGTTTCACGCTCCAGCCTGGGATCTAAATATAGTGCTCCAACACCTCACTAGTGAGGCTTATGAACCATTGATATCTACATCGTTTGAATCACTGACCCACAAAACCTTATTCCTGTTAGCACTAGCTACGGCTGCCAGGATGTCAGAGATTCACGCATTGGATTACGAGAGAACACGCTTTGATGATATTCATAACATCGCTCATCTGGGACTTCGCTGGGATTTTATAGCTAAAAACCAACTGCCAGGTCAACCAGACAGATTATTCCACGCCCCAGCTCTCTCATCCATACTTGGACCGCATGATGATACGATGGATCTATCACTATGCCCAGTGAGGGCACTGAAAATATATCTCCAACGATCCAAACAGAGCAGAGGGAAATTCAAGAGATTATTTATCCCTATATCTACAGCTACGCAGAGACGGAAGTCTCATGACTACTCACGATCTCTATCTGGATCAGAACTGTCATACTACGTGCCTACAAGGCTGCAGGACTCGACCTCCAAGAGCTTCTAATCCTCACGAGAATTAGAGCTAGCCTCAACTCTCGCTCTACATGGGAATTGCTCGTTGAATACCATAATGGAGGGATGTTTCTGGAGATCCGATATGGTGTTTGCCAACCACTATCTGAGAGATATCACCACCGAGGACGCCTCAGGTATCCACCATTTCGGGTCCCATGGTCCTCAGCTCAACAGTTGACAGTTCCACGGAGAAGATAAGTCTATCTTACAGATTTTATACTTATCTGATAACAGTACTAATAGCTACATGCTATCTATATATTTTGCTTAAGTTTAATTTATTATCTTAAGCTCAGTACTATGGTTTTTATATCATACTATATATAAGCTTACAACTCCTAGGAGTTTTGCTACTATATATATGTTCAGCTTAAGTTTCATCAATCCTTAAGTGCAGTCATATGGTCATATGCATAAATGTATTAGCTAACAAACTCTAAAGAGTTGGTTACTATTATACAGCTTAAGTTATAATTATATCTTAAACACTGTACTGTACTATTATAGCTTAAATATATGCATATCTTAAGCTTAATACTTTGGTTAATTTATAAAAGTATCCACTATAAACTCACAGAAGTTTATACTATCACATTAATAGCTTCAGCTTACATTAATGTTGTATATACTTTTATCATATTCAATAAATTGTAATAACCTTTATATGGCAGCTGATAAGTTAAACAGCAGGAATTCATCAGTTCAGTGCCTTTATGAAGTTCCCATAGGGGTATTACAATCATCACAGTTCAAATCACTAGTTATTAAAATCCAAAGTATATATATTCCCACCTCCTTTTTCAATGGATTCTACAAGTATATAGCATGAGTCAGGATAAGGAAAAATATGAAATTCTTAGAGTAAAATTAATATTTTATACTTATCCTGACTCATGAGGTAAGCCCTCCCGTCCTCCCCACTTAACACTTTGGATTTCTTCGGAAAAATAAAGTGTCGGGCTCGAAACAAAAGGAGAGAGTGAGGCACATGGGTTCAGGTGGCTTGTTCCCGCGCTTGTGGAAGGGAGGTAACTCGTGGTGAGTACTAATTAGTGATTTTTTAATTGAAGGGAACTTCAATTGGGAGATACACATGTTCCACTATGTTCGCAAGAAGAAGAAGACAAGCAATAAGCATGAGTCAGGATAAGTATAAAATATTAATTTTACTCTAAAAATTTCATTTTTCAAACTCTTAATGCAAAGGTGCTAGATAAGGTTGTAGTGGACAGATCGTGTTTGGCTGGCAGGTTATGATCTACTGTGTTGGCCATTAACACCCTTCAAATCAGTTTAATGGCTGATCTTCTGTCCTGCACATCAGTTATTTGGGCCCCAAGGTCGGCATTGGTAATAGGTCACTCAAGACAACTTTCATGCTTCATTCTGTGTCTGTGAGGGATAATGACTGTTCCCAGGAACCAAGATCCCGTGGGACCCCGACCACCTGGTTGGGAGTTTGTCCGACTCCACTGTCTACATGGCCTACTACACTGTAGCTCACCTCCTCCAGGGCGGAGTCATCGATGGAAGTGTTGTCGGCCCATCCAGCATCAGGTAAGCTTTAGTCACTAGGAAGTTCCCTGTGTCGGGATGGTTGATGGAAGTGTTGTCGGCCCATCCAGCATCAGGTGAACTTTAGTCCCAAGAAAGTTTCCTGTGGTGGGATGGTTGATGGAAGTGTTGTCAGCCAGCATCAGGTAAAGTTTAGTCCCTAGAAAGTTTCCTGTGGTGGGATGGTTGATGGAAGTGTTGTTGGTCCAGCCAGCATCAGGTAAGCTTTAGTCACTAGGAAGTTCCCTGTGTCGGGATGGTTGATGGAAGTGTTGTCGGTCCAGCCAGCATCAGGTAAAGTTTAGTCCCTAGAAAGTTTCCTGTGGTGGGATGGTTGATGGAAGTGTTGTCAGCCAGCATCTGGTGAGGTTTAGTCCCTAGAAAGTTCCCTGTGGTGGGATGGTTGATGGAAGTGTTGTCGGCCCATCCAGCATCAGGTGAGCTTTAGTCCCTAGGAAGTTTACTGTGGTGGGATGGTTGATGGAAGTGTTGTTGGGTCAGTCAGCATCAGGTGAGTTTTAGTCCCTAGAAAGTTCCCTGTGGTGGGATGGTTGATGGAAGTGTTGTCGGGTCAGTCAGCATCAGGTGAGCTTAAGCCCCAAGAAGTTTGAGGGGGGTTGTCAAGAGTTTAGTATTAGTTTGTGCTCAATACGTAGCAGACCCCTGTGTTGGGAAAGCTGATGGAAGTGTTGTCTGGACAGCAAACATTGGTTAATGTACAGTACTTTGGTCCTCATGGTGAGGTGGTTTATAGAAATGTTTCAAACAAGAAGTTTGTTACTTTCTCAAGTTCTTTAAAGGAAGAGTCATTCTTCTGTGGAAGCTATGAAATCTTCTATCATTGTGACACTCCCTCACTCAGTTTTCAAACAGGTCCCCTTTGTCAGTGAGTGTATTTCTCTGCTAGGACTGACCAGCTGACTCCAGAAGTGTGGGACTACATCTTCTTCCAGGATGTCCCATTCCCAAAGAAGGAAGGTATACCCAGGGCCACGCTGGACAAGCTGAAGAATGAGTTCAACTATTGGTACCCCTTGGATGTCAGAGTGTCTGGCAAAGATCTTATCCCCAACCATCTGACCTACTTCATCTACAACCATTGTGCCATCTGGCCTGATGACAAGTAGGTGGTACAGTCATATGGCCTAGTGACAAGTATGTAGCTGTGTCATGTGGCCTAGTGACAAGTATGTAGCTGTGTCATGTGGCCTAGTGACAAGTATGTAACTGTGTCATGTGGCCTAGTGACAAGTATGTAGCTGTGTCATGTGGCCTAGTGACAAGTATGTCATGTGGCTGTGTCATGTGGCCTAGTGACAGACAAGTATGTAAGTATGTTGCCTGTGTCATGTGTGTGGCCTAGTGACAAGTATGTAGCTGTGTCATGTGGCCTGTGGCCTAGTGACAAGTATGTAGCTGTGTCAGTGACAAGTATGTAACTGTGTCATGTGTGGCCTAGTGACAAGTATGTAGCTGTGTCATGTGGCCTAGTGACAAATTATATTGCTGTGTCTAGTGACAAGTATGTAGCTGGCCTGTCATGTGGTCATGTAGCCTAGTGACAAGTATGTGTGCTGTGGCCTAGTCATGTGGCCTAGTGACAAGTATGTAGCTGTGTCATGTGGCCTAGTGACAGTCATATAGCCTAGTGACAAGTATGTAGCTGTGTCATGTGGCCTAGTGACAAGTATGTAGCTGTGTCATGTGGCCTAGTGACAAGTATGTAGCTGTGTCATGTGGCCTAGTGACAAGTATGTAGCTGTGTCATGTGGCCTAGTGACAAGTATGTAGCTGTGTCATGTGTCATGTGTCTGTGGCCAAGTGACAAGTATGTAGCTGTCATGTGGCCTAGTGACAAGTATGTAGCTGTGTCATGTGGCCTAGTGACAAGTATGTAGCTGTATCATGTGGCCTAGTGACAAGTATGTAGCTGTGTCATGTGGCCTAGTGACAAGTATGTAACTGTGTCATGTGGCCTAGTGACAAGTATGTAGCTGTATCATGTGGCCTAGTGACAAGTATGTAGCTGTGTCATGTGGCCTAGTGACAAGTATGTAGCTGATGTCATGTTCAACAAGGTCAATTGTGCAAAGAGAAATGGGTGATCACTTCAGAAAGGCTCTGTTGAACAGCCCTAGATACATTGTCATATCACATGATACCTGAAAGAGATGCTTTGAATCACATTGCCATCATTTGCCACAGACTCTCGCTTTCTTTTATAACAGATCTAAGTGGCCCAAGGGAGTACGAGTTAATGGCCACATCATGCTCAATTCTGAGAAGGTAAATAGAACAAATATAACCTTGGAAAAGAAGAGTGAATTTAGCTTTATGCTGCATTTAGCAATATTCAAGCAATATCACTGTGGGGGACACCAGAAATGGGCTTCACACATTGTACCCATGTGGGGAATCGAACCCGGGTCTTCGGCGTGATAAGCGAAAACTGTAACCACTTGAAAAGAAGAAACAGAATTGGTTAAGTTTTGGGGGCATGGGGTCTTGTGTTAGGGGTTACGGGTTTACGTGTTGGGTTGGGAATGGGGTATTGGGCCAAGTCAACGATGGTTCCAGACATTTTTTTGCAGGGCTGCTTCCCTCAGGCCTGCCAGAAACTTATGACTGTGATAACAATTATTATTTGTATTGAGTGAGTGAGTTTAGTTTTTCACTGCACTCAACAATATTCCAGCTATATGGTGGTGATCTGTAAATAATCGAGTCTGCACCAGACAATGTACTGATCAACAGCATGAGCATCGATCTACGCAATGGGGATATAATGACATTTGTCAACCAAGCCAGTGAGCCTGACCACCTGATCCCGTGTGTCACCTCTTACAACAAGCATGGATCACTGAAGATCAATCACAGGTTTTTAGAAGTTGTGAAGTACAATGCTTGATTATTTACAGACCGACACCATATAGCTGCGGCGTAAAACTAAACTCACTGTAGGCATCCAAAGTATCTCATTTATGTATAGTATCTCTTAGATGCACATGTATATACATAACATGTTCAGACAGGAGATTGCTATTTGATTCTTGTGGATATTTTGTACATTTTGTGTCAAAATGTCGAGGCATCAACAATCAAAAGTTCCATCATTCTCTATGTGTTAAGATGATGGTTCAGAGAACACTGTTTCATCACAACCAGTATCTTTGCAGATGTCCAAAGGCACAGGGAACTTCATGAGCCTGGATGATGCATTGGCCAAGTTCTCAGCTGATGGTATGTTGTCAGATGTTGTGACACTCTGGTTGCCAGGCTCCTGTGATTCTGAGTTTGAATCCCGAATCAATACTGCTTGGTTGATCACCACCTTGTTTGTGAGTTAGTGAGTGAGTGTGGAAACCTTGCTTACAAGACTGGAAATGGTCATCTACCTTTTGATAAACTTCAAGGATTCTGCTAGACAATGTCACAAGAATCTCTGCCGAAATATCACTCTACAAAATATAAGAATGTGTTATCCAGAAATTTGTTAGTATTGTACTTCACAACTTCTAAAAACCTGTGATTGATCTTCAGTGATCCATGCTTGTTGTAAGAGGTGACACACGGGATCAGGTGGTCAGGCTCGCTGACTTGGTTGACACATGTCATCATATCCCCATTGCGTAGATCGATGCTCATGCTGTTGATCATTGGATTGTCTGGTCCAGACTCGATTATTTACAGACCGCCGTCATGTGGTTGGAATATTGCTGAGTGTGGCATAAAGCTAAACTCACTCACTCACCCAAATTCTGAAATGCCACTCAAAGACAATATACTTCAAGGGAGACAACTTTCTAAAAAAATTTAAGAGCCTGGTTTGCTATAGATCTAGATGATTGGCTTTCACGCCTTAGTAAACTGGTCCTGTGTACTATCTTTGCATAGTGTTTGTTTCCTTTAACATGGGACATTTTATTGCTTGATATTAAGAATGTTATAATAAATCGGGACCGGTGTTGAATGGATGGATATGTTTTGTCCAGGCACAAGACTGTCTCTAGCTGATGCTGGAGATTCTGTGGAAGATGCCAACTTCATGGAGAAAATGGCTGATGCTGGCGTCCTGCGTCTGTACACCCTTTTGGAATGGGTCAAGAAAATTCTGGCCAATCAGGACACACTGAGGAAAGGCCCGTCGAGTGCCTACACATTCCACGATAATGTCTTCATTAGGTATTTGAGGGGAGGGTTTTCACACTGGGTTAGGCACATTTGTTGGGAGTATGTCAATATAATGACTGTATTAAACATCTGATGTGGTTGTATTTCGTATATCCGAGATACTCTCCTGTTATATTTCATGTATATCACAGAAAATTCTGACCATTTGATGACAAGACACTTTAAACTTAAAGGTTTTTCTTAAATTAACTTTTAAGTCAGTTTTACATGATAAATGATTAATTATTTGAGTATTTGGGTAATTCATACCCAAAGGGTTAGAATGAACCAAGTGAAAAGAATTCTTTTTCAAAAGAGATCCTCCTTGGGGTACATGTCCATTTTAATTCCTACAACAGTTGTAACTAAGTTTTCCAATGAAGAAGTCGTGTTTGTCTGTTCGGCCACCCCTACAGGGCCCCTGAGGGCCCCAACAGACAAGAGCAGGTAACTCTAAGCGTGAAGCTCATGCCTTACTTTTCATGCTGTCGTTCCTGTGGTAGGACATGTTCCTGTTGTCCAGTTGATTGGCTCCTGTAAGCGAGAGTGCTATGTTTAGTTAGTTTTCATTCAGTATTTGCTCAAGTATATTATGTGTCGTCGGGTGCAGGAGTCTAGTGTTCCACATGTGTTTCAAGTTACAGTCCATTTGAGTCAGAAACGGACCGATGAATTGCAAATTTTATCATTGTACAAAATTGCCACATAAATATAAATAGTACACATGTTTATCATTTACTAATACCCAACTCCGGACTCCACCAAAAAAGTTCTTTAAGAAACTATCATTACAATTTTGACACAGTTCACTATTTGTTACGAGGGAGGAGTGCAGAGAAAGGGACAGCCAGGTGTTAGAGAAGCACATGCACAAGTGCCCACCAAGTTATTGATTCATTAGCCTGTGCTGTGCCGTCTCCATCCTTTCTCGCACACCTGGCTGTCCCTTTCTCTGCACTCCTCCCTCGTAACGAATAGTGAACCGTGTCAAAATTGTAATGGTCAGTCGTTCTGGAATCGCCTCCAAGTGAGGGGAATTCCTTCATCAGTTGCAGACACAATTCTGGCTTCACGGAGGGATTCGACAAACGTTCAGTATGAGGATAGATGGGACTGTTATGTGCGCTGGTGTGTCGGCAGAGGGGTTCATGATCCCTTTTCTGCAGATCTCGTCTTGATGTCTTGATTGGAAGCCGGTCTTGCTGCTTCTAACATCAGAGGGTACTCCACGGCTATTTCTGCTTTTCACATTCCAGCAGATGTTGTACTTTGGGGGCAACACCCTCTTGTACACCGCATTTAGCAGGTGTGGACAGAATCCGTCTTGCGAATTCAGTGGTTGGGAGGCAGATGCGCTATGAGCCAATTAGGCTATAAGCTTGGCAGCTGTCGTCCCTCCCCTTAGCCACGCCCCTGCCTGATTGACAGTGGCGGTCAGGTGATAGGGTAAGGGTGTTTTATTTTTCTGTCTGCTAGATTGAAGAATTCCACTTATGTTTGGGTTTCTTATGGCAGACAGAATAACAATTCCAACACTACATCTCTTGAAGTCTGTCTTATGCTTATATGTACCCCAAGGAGGATCTCTTTGGAAAAAGAATCGATCAAACCTGTAGAGGTTTGTGATTATGTGAAAAGAGTCCTCCTTGGGGTAGGGCCGCCAACCTCCCCTCATTGGCTGTTGGGGCCCTCAGGGGCCCTGTAGGGGTGGCCGAACAAGACAAAAAAGAGTTTTTTGTTTTGTAAATATTTTCATTGGAAAATATAGTTACAACTGTCGTAGGATTTAAAATGGACATTTTAATGCTTATATGTGCCCCTAGGAGGACACTTTTCAAAGAATCGGAAACCTCTGCAAGTTTGATTGAATTTATGTGCACAAGTGAATCAATTAAGTCATGTGGACTAATTAATGATCTCATTTGAATTGATTTTATGAATCTGTAAGAATAATGTATAACTGTCAAGTTCTACTTGAAATTCTGACTCAAGTTTCTTGAAAACAGAATGATTCATTGGTTTTAATGCCACTTGTTCCCTTCTTCAGTGAAATGTACAAGGCCATAGCTGAGACGAAGGCTAACTATGACAATTACCTCTTCAAAGATGCTCTCAGGACAGGCTTTTTTGAGTTCCAGGTAAACTTACATTCTTACAATCTTATACTGTTAATCCTATTACTGCTACTGTATTTAAACTGCTTTAGGTTCAGCATTTAGGCCTTTGTAACAATGCTTGACAAGGAAAATCTAATTACTGAGCAGCTTGTGTTTGTTTGACCCCTGCTTACCTCCCCTGAACTGTGGTCATGATCAATACAGGGCTGGTTGTCTTTAGGGTAGAAGATGGTGTACCTGTAACAAAATGTACCTGATGTATATTTAGAACATCAGTCTGTTTACACATGTACAAGAGACATTATTCTTCGGAGGAAGTCCTTACCCAAGTCAACCGACATGTATCCACAGAGATGCCAACCCATACGATTTTATAGTATTCGTTACGAATAAACAACACAAAATACCCGACTACGATATCAGTAAAAATATACGATTTTAAAACAAAATACATCAAATTAAATCATCAAATTGCATATGTACCATACACAACAAATCTCAACCACATCTTATTCAGTATCAAGCTATTATTATATTACCGTATATTACCGTCTATAAGACGACTCCATCAATACGACGACCCCCAAACTTGACCCTTAAAATCAGTGTCAAAATGGTATGTTTCGTGCATAAGTCGATCCCCCGCGATGGGGTCCTAATTGTGGCAAACACAGACCGCAGACAACTGGCAGTTACCAATAATTATAACTTTGGTCCACATTATTCAAAGAATTCACGATCATATATATTACGTCTACTTGCGGATCAAAACGAAGTGTAGTTGCTTTTTTTGGTCCTCAAAATTCGGCTTATAGACGGTAATATATGGTACTTACTACTGATTTAGGTGAGTACAACGTTAATAACAAGTTCTCAGAGCAGCTATATATTCTTGGCCAAAAAATGCTAAGTTTGCAGCAGTTTTTGGCCAAAATACTTATTGGGCTAAATTAGGGTTGGCATCTCTGTATCCATTACAAATGTTTGTTGTTTAAAGCCGCACTCTGTAATATGTCTGCTATGTGACAGCGGTCTGTTTTTGAGTCTGGACCAGATCATCCAGTGCTTGACATCTTCAGGTTCAATCCATACCACGACATGCATTAGCTAAGTGAGTGAGCTTGAACTCCTGATCCAGTTGGTAGGGCTGGGACAATTTACCGATAAGTCACGATACATTTAAGTTTGATACAGCTATCGTATCGTCGACTTGTGTATTGATACAAAACGGTACACTTTTTTTTTCAAAACAGTATGATCTTAAACATGCTAAAGTACTTATTTAGAGAAAATATGTAAGTATGATAGAGTTACTTGTTTGTTTGTTACAATAGTGTTATTGTTATACACAAATACCTTGGAATATATCATTTTAAATCTTAATACTGTGTCATGCTTTCAAGGTGTATGTATCGTGATGTGTATCGTATCGCAGGTAAATTATCGCGATACGTATCGTATTGTGACATAGTGTATTGTCCCAGCCATACCAGCTGGTCACTCTCCCAGGCGCGCACCTGAGTGTGGCTTGGCCTGGCGTTCGCCTCACTGCTCACCTCCCAAGCGTTCCCCTCGGCACTCATGCTCTCCCTGGTGCTCTCCCATACGTGATGCACGCTCCTCGCCTTTTTTGGACGCTTCTCAGGCTCAATATAAAGTTGGTGATAGACACTAAACTCCGCAGGACTTTGTAACCTCTTTCAGTTCTCACCTCGGCCACGGAGACCATGTCACAGGATCTCACTGAGAATGAGGACAATCCTTCACGTTTGGATCACCTAACTACCATGTTCCGGTAGCAGGCAGTAACTTCTAACGTGGTAGATCACATCCGTTCAGCGCTTGCCACCGCCACAGTGATTCGTAGGACTGCTTTGCTTTCTTCATGTACCGAGCAGGAGGAATATAAAAAGAGACTTATGTGTGCCCCGTTCTCAGACCCAACTTTGTTTGCAGACAAGCTTCCAGACGTTTTCTCGGAACACACCTCACTGACGCAGACAGAGATTGCACTCAGGTCTTTTCGGCACTTTGTCAACTTATTAGCTCCAGCTTCCAGTAATACCAACCTCTGACAGTCTAGGAGGTCGTCTGTTCATGGAGCCCCTAGAGGTCACGACAGAGGTTCCAATGACTTTCAACGTCGCCCCACTGGCAAACAGAGAGAAAAGACCAGCAAGACCGGCAAGCCCAAATACAAGCAACGCTGATGTCATGGACAATCACGACTGGGAGCTCTTGCCCCCAGTCGTCCATATCTCTGCAATATACCTGTAGGCGGGAGACTTGGGTCTTCTGGCCCAACTGGACATTCCTGGGAGACCCTTTTGTAACCAATATTCTCAAGACAGGCTACAAGTTGCCAATAGCCAAGTCGCCACCTCTGACCACCCTGCCTCGGTCATGTGAGTATTCCAGCGTTCAACACCAGCACCTTTTAACCAACATCTAGTCGTTGCTGGATGAGAGAGCCATAGAACAAGTGATAGAGCCCAGCAACTCCCCAGGGTTTTACTCTCAAAAGATGAGGATGATACACAACATGGCGGTTTTCAACAAGCTGTACCTTTCGGAGCCGCCAAATTTCCTGATGATATCACTGGTCCATCTTCGTGCCAAACTGTCCCCCCCAGGATTGGCTGGTTAGTCTGGACCTTCAGGATGCTTACTTATATCTTCCCATCTATCAACCTCACTGGAAGTTCCTCAGGGTATTTTTCGATGGCCAACATTACCAGTGGAAAGTCCTGCCGTTTGGAATTTCCACGTCCCCGTGGCTATTCACTTGGATCACAGCGCCGATTGCCCGGTATCTCCATCTTCGGGGGATAGAGTTTGATCTGTAGATTGACAGCTCTATCATGAGCCACAAGGAGTGCCTGCTGCTACACAGACAGAGGGATTTTAGGTTCAAGCTCTTCCACCAACTCGGATGGATTATCAACCTAAAAAAATCCCGCTTAGCAAAATCTCAACAGCTGACATTCGTAGGGGGTTTGTTCCTGACAGACCAAGACCTTCTGCGGGTTCCACCAGACAGATGGCAGAGGATCCTTAGCCTCACTCTTCGGGGTCTGTCACACGCGCTTAAGCTCAGGGAATGGCAGTTCCTCCTAGGTCTTTTGACGTCGGCTTAGGATCTTACCCGCAGAGGGAGATTGATGCTCAGGACCCTTCAACGGTTCCTCTCACCATTCATCCTGTTAGACGACCTCAGGTCGAGATGTTTGCTGCCCCTTCATCTTCGTGATTTCCTGCGATGGTGGACAATTGAGTCGAATGTCTGCGGCGGAGTCTCCTTGACCGAGTTCACACACGACCGTGAACTGTTTGTGGACACCTCTCTGCAAGGTTTGGGTGCTCACCTGGCAGGGCTGTGGTCAACCGCACAGCAACAACCTAGAAACTCCAGGCTGTCATCCTAGCCATTCAGCACTGGATTCATTTACTACGGGACATCCTGCTCTTGTTTGCTTCAGACAATTCGACAGTGATCTGGTTGATCCGCAACCAGGTAACAACCATCTCGGGCCATCTTCTGGATCAGATGTTTCATTTGTTTCAACTCCTGGTCGACAACAACATCTAGATCAGAGCTCGTCACATCCCATGTTGCAGGAATGTCCTGGCAGACACTACCTCCGCAACACTTGTCATCTGAAGGGTGGTACGATCTCCACCTATTTGGCAGCCCTCAATTCTGTGCTGGCCGTCAAGTCTGATAGGAAGGTCTCCAAGATTCTTTGGCCATGCTGAAAACTTATAAGTTGGAGGATCAGAAGTCCAAGTTCCGATCTCCAGCTTGGGACCTCAACTTGGTTCTACTACACCTTCATGGTCATCCTTATGAGCCTTTGGCTGAGGCCTCTTTCGAGGATTTGTCCAGGAAAACAGTCTTTCTCCTGGCTCTTGCTACTGCAACTGATTAACATTCGTCACCACTCGCCTCTTTCCATAACCTCCAAGAAGACTCGTCCCCCACTCGATACTTGTTATGTGCGAAAATACGACCAACCAATCAGATCGCGCGTAAGTGAGCATGGTGCTTTGATAAAAATAATCCCGAGTACTTAAATCGTTTATGGCATTATGTCATTGTTTAAAAAATCATGAAAAATATATATCGTCATATTGAAAGTACAAAGAATGTAGCTAAAAGGATTTTGCTGCCTATTATGAAGTTTTTAATAAGAATCATGCGATTGACGGTGAGAGATTCAAATACAGGCACGTGCGTTTGTTGACATAACTGCTCTCCTGGGTCCAACTGAGTGTATTTCCGACGATCTTGCGGGCTTATTATGCAGATTGTACGTGCACTTCGACCAATTTTAGGAAATGTAATTATAATCGCTACGAGTTTCAAAACAATAATATTGTATTTGTATGTAACTAATCAAACTTAATCTTTAACATTGGGCTTATATGTCATATCTCTGGGGATATTTTAGTCTGACGTTTTTTTGGTCATTCATATTTTTTTCAGCGAATTCATTTAAAATTCCACCAAGGGTGTGACAGCAAGGTTACACGAATGTTCAGTTTGAGAAATATTTTAAAGTCATTTTTGAGTATCTGCTTTGGGATTTAATGTAGCTGAATTTTGTTTATTTTATTTGTATATTCAATAAAACAAATCCCATTTGTGATGATTAAACCCTATTAAGAACCCTATTAATTAACATAATTGGAAATACAAGGTGAACAGCTGGTAATAATTACATTAGAATATGTCTTTAACAAATATGTTTTTCTCCTTTTAGTTGTATCAAAGAGCAGTGTAGGAAAGATAGCCCGTCCCAACGTCCGAGACGGGTGAATTTTGTGGAGGACGGGTTAAACAAATATCTAGTCCGTCCTCATGTCGGGTCAATTTTAGCAAACCAATGACATATATATAATGCTTATAACCTTTTTGAATATTTACTGCCGAAGGTGTTTTATTTATATTTGGAGGACAGGCTAGATTTTGGCAGGACTGGTAAAAAATTTGACCTGCCAGTCCTGTGGACAGGCTAGATTTTCTACATCTTTCCTACACTGCAAAGAGGTTTAATTCTTTAAAATAAATAAGTGCAAAAAAACAAAAACAACAACCTAGCAATACAATGTACATGTGCTTCGGTGATTTTTTGAAACATTGGAATCAAACAGGGATAGAGTTATCGTTCTTGTTTAAAGTTGTTCTGATGTTCATGCGCCAATATGAAATCCTTCCAGAGGGGCACAAGTCGCTATTCGGGTTGTCCCGGAAAAACACGAGTTGATCACGAATGACTGAGTAAGTGAGCTTCATGCCATAGACGTCACCAGGATTCGGTTTGAACAGACTCGTAAGACTTCCATCCATTTGGGTCTTCTCTGGGATGTTATTGCCAAGAACCACTTGCCTGGACAACAGAACTGATTGTTTGTCATTCCTCATTTGTCCTCTATAGTGGGAAGGGATGAGTCCCGTGAGGGCCCTCAAAGAGTACATCGGGAAATCATCAGTCAGGAGAAGCTCGAGGAAACGTCTTTTCATCCTGTTCTCTTCTGCGACGAAGGGTGAGGTAAACAAGAACACCATCGCTTTGTGGCTTCGCTCGACCATCCTCGCAGCCTACGACTCATTTGGTTTGCCTCACCCCACCACCAACAACCCACATGAGATCTGGGCCTTAGCATCTACCATTGTGCTTAACAGGAACTGTTCTGTCCCAACCATTATGGAGGGGTGTTTTTGGAAATCTAACACAGTTTTCGACAGCCATTATCTCTGGGATTTTGGCGGTCAAGGATGTTCAGGGACTTGAGTCCTTTGGCCCGCTAGTGGTAGCTCAGCAACTGGGTGATCATCTTTTTTTCCTCACTTCAGTGGTTTATTATAAGGTTTACCCATGTTTTCTCGTGTTGTTCTCCTTATAGGGGTTCTACAGGTGGTTTACTGTTCTTGTCTCATTGGTTCCAGATTCAACACCAAGACAGTTTCCATGTCCACATCTGTGTGGTTTTTGGTCCTCACTTGAGACCGACCCTCCTACCTCACTGTCAGATCAACATGCACATTACCATGAGGTAAGGCAAGTTAAAAATTTATTAAAAATCTAAATGTTTGAGATATTTAAATACTTACCTTACCTCATGGCATTCTACGCCCTCCCTACGTTGTAGCATTTTCCTCTCCACCTCTCAGACTTTAGGATTCCGGATAAAGTGATGTGTTCTCATTGTCACATGACGAGACGCGCGGCGGACAAGATCGACACGTTACTGGTTTCATGGTAGAATTCAACACGGATACTTATCAATCACGTTTCCAATATTTGTATCGGATGAGCAAAGGTAATATGCACATTACCATGAGGCAAGACAAGTATTTAAATATCTAAAATATTTAGATTTTAATAATTTCGCTGTACAGAGGTATGTCCCCTGGAGTCATAAGAAACCTGTCATTACAGTTTCAAATTATGTTTTTGACACAGTAATTTTACTCAGGGTTTCACCAAACATCTGAGACCTAAAAGGCTTTCTTCCCATATTATTCTGACACCATTATCTAACTGCAATACTGTTGAGAGTGACGTTAAACACAACTCACTTGGGCTGTCATTTAAATTTGAGTTTCTTACCTTGATTTGTTGACACACTAAGAGATATTTAACACTTATCATTTTAATCAATATGTTGGCAAAGCAAGTAGTAGACTCAATTCCCCTTAGGGTTTAGGGGTTAGATAGGACCTGGAACCTTTGCTTGTCGAAATGGACTTGGTAGTCAAGCACTGAACATTGAAAAGATCTGTTTGCAAACAAGCATGGATGTTTTTTCAAGACAAAGAATTAATATATGTATATCAGGAATGTTATTTGGGGGGTATTTGGTATCATCACTGCTAAAGAGTGAGTGAGTGAGTTTAGTTTTACGCCACACTCAACAATATTCCAGTGATATGGCGGCGGTCTGTAAATAATCAAGTCTGGACCAGACAATCCAGTGATCAACAGCATGAGCATCAATCTTCACAACTGGGATGCGATGACGTGTCAACCAAGTCAGCAAGCCTGACCACCCGATCCCGTTAGTCGCCTTCTTACGACAAGCATGGGTTACCGAAGACCAATTCTAGCCCTGATCTTCACGTGTCCATTGCTAAAGAAGTATGTGGATATAGTAAAATAATTCATTCGAAAAATGTGTTTAAAAACAAATAAGCATGGATGTGTTTCATGACAGAGAATCTTTTAAAGTATATATTTAGAATGTTAGTTTTGGGGTATTTGGTATCATCTTTGCTAAAGGAGTAATCACATGTAGTAATGGTGTGAATGTTGTGTTTTTATATTCCCTATGTGTGATTTCAGGCCATCCGTAACAAGTACCGGGAGGTGGAGATGGAGGGGATGCACCGTGACCTCGTGCTGCACTTCATTGAGTTACAGGTCCTCATGCTGGCTCCACTGTGCCCTCACATCAGTGAACACATCTGGGGGCTGCTCGGAAAGGTCAGTACCACGTATGCAAGAGGAGAGTTGGCAACTTCTGGGTTGCCATGGAATGAAAGTTCATTTCTTGCCTTGCATCCGTCCTGGACTTAATACTAGCAGACTTTTATTCACTCATTCTGTTGCTTGGGCAGGTCGGTACCCTGGATGCAAGAGGACGGTTTGTCATTCTGTGAAATATATGTACCTCAAAGACTTGTTAGACCAACCGTCTGTCACACAGAAATGCAGAATCATGAAACTTTGTCTCTGTTCTTCCAAAATGACTTCTGGTTTATATCTATTAGATTCTGGATTCTGGGTTTGGATCCACAAAGCATTCATACCACTATGACATTCCTAGGCCTATGGTGAACTGTAGAGTTACAACAGGTCGTAACGATGCAAACACTTTGTGGATTAGGACCCAGGAGCCTAATCTCTCTGATGTAGTGGATCCGGAGGGCAGGTCAGGACTCAGGAGCCTAAACTGTCTGATGTAGTGGATCAGGCGGGCTGATTCAGGACCCAGTAACCTAAACTCTCTGATGTAGTGGACCAGGTGGGCTGGTTCAGGAGCTAGGAGCCTAAAGTCTCTGATGTAGTGGATCAGGTGGGCTGATTCAGGACCCAGGAGCCTAAAGTCTCTGATGTAGTGGATCAGGTGGGCTGGTTCAGGAGCTAGGAGCCTAAACTCTCTGATTAGTGGACCAGGTGGGCTGGTTCAGGAGCTAGGAGCCTAAAGTCTCTGATGTAGTGGATCAGGTGGGCTGATTCAGGACCCAGGAGCCTAAAGTCTCTGATGTAGTGGATCAGGTGGGCTGGTTCAAGAGCTAGGAGCCTAAACTCTCTGATGTAGTGGACCAGGTGGGCTGATTCAGGACCCAGGAGCCTAAAGTCTCTGATGTAGTGGATCAGGTGGGCTGGTTCAGGAGCTAGGAGCCTAAAGTCTCTGATGTAGTGGATCAGGTGGGCTGATTCAGGACCCAGGAGCCTAAAGTCTCTGATGTAGTGGATCAGGTGGGCTGGTTCAGGAGCTAGGAGCCTAAACTCTCTGATGTAGTGGATCAGGTGGGCTGATTCAGGACCCAGGAGCCTAAAGTCTCTGATGTAGTGGATCAGGTGGGCTGGTTCAGGAGCTAGGAGCCTAAACTCTTTGTTGTAGTGGATCAGGCCGGATGGTTCAGGAGCTAGGAGCCTAAACTCTCTGATGTAGTGGATCAGGCCGGATGGTTCGGGGACTAGGAGCCTAAACTCCCTGATGTAGTGGATTAGATGGGCAGGTTCAGGAGCTAGGAACCTAAACTCTCTGTTGTAGTGGATCAGGCCGGATGGTTCAGGAGCTAGGAACCTAAACTCTCTGATGTAGTGGATCAGGTGGGTTGGTTCAGGGACTAGGAGCCTAAACTCTCTGTTGTAGTGGATCAGGCCGGATGGTTCAGGGACTAGGAGCCTAAACTCCCTGATGTAGTGGATTAGATGGGCAGGTTCAGGAGCTAGGAGCCTAAACTCTCTGTTGTAGTGGATCAGGCCGGATGGTTCGGGGACTAGGAGCCTAAACTCCCTGATGTAGTGGATTAGATGGGCAGGTTCAGGAGCTAGGAACCTAAACTCTCTGTTGTAGTGGATCAGGCCGGATGGTTCAGGAGCTAGGAACCTAAACTCTCTGATGTAGTGGATCAGGTGGGCTGGTTCAGGGACTAGGAGCCTAAACTCTCTGTTGTAGTGGATCAGGCCGGATGGTTCAGGGACTAGGAGCCTAAACTCCCTGATGTAGTGGATCAGGTGGGCTGGTTCAGGAGCTAGGAGCCTAAACTCTCTGATGTAGTGGATGAGGTGGGCTGGTTCAGGAGCTAGGAACCTAAACTCTCGGATGTAGTGGATCAGGACGGCTGGTTCAGGAGCTAGGAGCCTAAACTCTCTGATGGAGTGGACCAGGTGGGCTGGTTCAGGAGCTAGGAGCCTAAACTCTCTGTTGTAGTGGATCAGGCCGGATGGTTCAGGAGCTAGGAGCCTAAACTCTTTGTTGTAGTGGATCAGGCCGGATGGTTCAGGAGCTAGGAACCTAAACTCTCTGATGTCGTGGACCAGGCAGTCTGGTTCAGGAGTTAGGGAGCCTAAACTCTCTGATGTAGTGAATCACGTGGGCTGGTTCAGGAGCTAGGAGCCTAAACTCCCTGTTGTAGTGGACCAGGTGGGCTTGTTCAGGAGCTAGGAGCCTAAACTCTCTGATGTAGTGGAGCAGGTGGGCTGGTTCAGGACCCAAGAGCCTAAACTCTCTGATGTAGTGGAGCAGGTGGGCTGGTTCAGGAGCTAGGAGCCCTAAACTCTCTGATGTAGTGGATCAGGTGGGCTGGTTCAAGAGCTAGGAGCCTAAACTCTCTGATGTAGTGGATCAGGTGGGCTGGTTCAGTAGCTAGGAACCTAAACTCTCTGATGTAGTGGACCAGGCAGTCTGGTTCAGGAGCTAGGAGCCTAAAATCTCTGATGTAGTGGATCAGGTGGGCTGGTTCAGGAGCTAGGAGCCTAAACTCCCTGATGTAGTGGATCAGGTGGGCTGGTTCAGGAGCTAGGAGCCTAAACTCTCTGATGTAGTGGACCAGGCAGTCTGGTTCAGGAGCTAGGAACCTAAACTCTCTGTTGTAGTGGATCAGGTGGGCTGGTTCAGTAGCTAGGAACCTAAACTCTCTGATGTAGTGGACCAGGCAGTCTGGTTCAGGAGCTAGGAGCCTAAAATCTCTGATGTAGTGGATCAGGTGGGCTGGTTCAGGAGCTAGGAGCCTAAACTCCCTGATGTAGTGGATCAGGTGGGCTGGTTCAGGAGCTAGGAGCCTAAACTCTCTGATGTAGTGGACCAGGCAGTCTGGTTCAGGAGCTAGGACCTAAACTCTCTGATGTAGTGGATCAGGTGGGCTGGTTCAGTAGCTAGGAACCTAAACTCTCTGATGTAGTGGACCAGGCAGTCTGGTTCAGGAGCTAGGAGCCTAAACTCCCTGATGTAGTGGATCAGGTGGGCTGGTTCAGGAGCTAGGAGCCTAAACTCCCTGATGTAGTGGATCAGGTGGGCTGGTTCAGGAGCTAGGAGCCTAAACTCTCTGATGTAGTGGACCAGGTGGGCTGGTTCAGTGTATCAGAAGTTCATTGCATGTTGTGTATCTTTAACTCACTCTGTTCTGTTTCCCAGCCTGATAGCATCATGAAAGCGTTGTGGCCTGTCGGAGGAGAGGTCGACATGAAGTTGGTCCAGGCATCTGAATATATCACTGATGCTGCCAACGAATTCCGCATCCGTCTCAAGGTGTACACAGCACCAGGCAAAGGGAAGGTAAGGTGTCGAAAGGCAGATCCAGGTTAGAATTGGTCTGGAGGAACTCATGCTTTTCGTAAGAGGCGACTAACAGGATCGGGTGGTCAGGCTCGTTGACATGGTCAATGCATGCCAACATGTCCGACTTGCATTGATTGCTCATGATGTCAATCACTTGATTGTCTGGTCAAGATGCACCGTGACCTCGTGCTGCACTTCATTGAGTTACAGGTCCTCATGCTGGCTCCACTGTGCCCTCACATCAGTGAACACATCTGGGGGCTGCTCGGAAAGGTCAGTACCACGTATGCAAGAGGAGAGTTGGCAACTTCTGGGTTGCCATGGAATGAAAGTTCATTTCTTGCCTTGCATCCGTCCTGGACTTAATACTAGCAGACTTTTATTCACTCATTCTGTTGCTTGGGCAGGTCGGTACCCTGGATGCAAGAGGACGGTTTGTCATTCTGTGAAATATATGTACCTCAAAGACTTGTTAGACCAACCGTCTGTCACACAGAAATGCAGAATCATGAAACTTTGTCTCTGTTCTTCCAAAATGACTTCTGGTTTATATCTATTAGATTCTGGATTCTGGGTTTGGATCCACAAAGCATTCATACCACTATGACATTCCTAGGCCTATGGTGAACTGTAGAGTTACAACAGGTCGTAACGATGCAAACACTTTGTGGATTAGGACCCAGGAGCCTAATCTCTCTGATGTAGTGGATCCGGAGGGCAGGTCAGGACTCAGGAGCCTAAACTGTCTGATGTAGTGGATCAGGCGGGCTGATTCAGGACCCAGTAACCTAAAAACTCTCTGATGTAGTGGACCAGGTGGGCTGGTTCAGGAGCTAGGAGCCCTAAAGTCTCTGATGTAGTGGATCAGGTGGGCTGATTCAGGACCCAGGAGCCTAAAGTCTCTGATGTAGTGGATCAGGTGGGCTGGTTCAGGAGCTAGGAGCCTAAACTCTCTGATTAGTGGACCAGGTGGGCTGGTTCAGGAGCTAGGAGCCTAAAGTCTCTGATGTAGTGGATCAGGTGGGCTGATTCAGGACCCAGGAGCCTAAAGTCTCTGATGTAGTGGATCAGGTGGGCTGGTTCAAGAGCTAGGAGCCTAAACTCTCTGATGTAGTGGACCAGGTGGGCTGATTCAGGACCCAGGAGCCTAAAGTCTCTGATGTAGTGGATCAGGTGGGCTGGTTCAGGAGCTAGGAGCCTAAAGTCTCTGATGTAGTGGATCAGGTGGGCTGATTCAGGACCCAGGAGCCTAAAGTCTCTGATGTAGTGGATCAGGTGGGCTGGTTCAGGAGCTAGGAGCCTAAACTCTCTGATGTAGTGGATCAGGTGGGCTGATTCAGGACCCAGGAGCCTAAAGTCTCTGATGTAGTGGATCAGGTGGGCTGGTTCAGGAGCTAGGAGCCTAAACTCTTTGTTGTAGTGGATCAGGCCGGATGGTTCAGGAGCTAGGAGCCTAAACTCTCTGATGTAGTGGATCAGGCCGGATGGTTCGGGGACTAGGAGCCTAAACTCCCTGATGTAGTGGATTAGATGGGCAGGTTCAGGAGCTAGGAACCTAAACTCTCTGTTGTAGTGGATCAGGCCGGATGGTTCAGGAGCTAGGAACCTAAACTCTCGGATGTAGTGGATCAGGTGGGTTGGTTCAGGGACTAGGAGCCTAAACTCTCTGTTGTAGTGGATCAGGCCGGATGGTTCAGGGACTAGGAGCCTAAACTCCCTGATGTAGTGGATTAGATGGGCAGGTTCAGGAGCTAGGAGCCTAAACTCTCTGTTGTAGTGGATCAGGCCGGATGGTTCGGGGACTAGGAGCCTAAACTCCCTGATGTAGTGGATTAGATGGGCAGGTTCAGGAGCTAGGAACCTAAACTCTCTGTTGTAGTGGATCAGGCCGGATGGTTCAGGAGCTAGGAACCTAAACTCTCTGATGTAGTGGATCAGGTGGGCTGGTTCAGGGACTAGGAGCCTAAACTCTCTGTTGTAGTGGATCAGGCCGGATGGTTCAGGGACTAGGAGCCTAAACTCCCTGATGTAGTGGATCAGGTGGGCTGGTTCAGGAGCTAGGAGCCTAAACTCTCTGATGTAGTGGATGAGGTGGGCTGGTTCAGGAGCTAGGAACCTAAACTCTCGGATGTAGTGGATCAGGACGGCTGGTTCAGGAGCTAGGAGCCTAAACTCTCTGATGGAGTGGACCAGGTGGGCTGGTTCAGGAGCTAGGAGCCTAAACTCTCTGTTGTAGTGGATCAGGCCGGATGGTTCAGGAGCTAGGAGCCTAAACTCTTTGTTGTAGTGGATCAGGCCGGATGGTTCAGGAGCTAGGAACCTAAACTCTCTGATGTCGTGGACCAGGCAGTCTGGTTCAGGAGTTAGGAGCCTAAACTCTCTGATGTAGTGAATCACGTGGGCTGGTTCAGGAGCTAGGAGCCTAAACTCCCTGTTGTAGTGGACCAGGTGGGCTTGTTCAGGAGCTAGGAGCCTAAACTCTCTGATGTAGTGGAGCAGGTGGGCTGGTTCAGGACCCAAGAGCCTAAACTCTCTGATGTAGTGGAGCAGGTGGGCTGGTTCAGGAGCTAGGAGCCTAAACTCTCTGATGTAGTGGATCAGGTGGGCTGGTTCAGGAGCTAGGAGCCTAAACTCTCTGATGTAGTGGATCAGGTGGGCTGGTTCAGTAGCTAGGAACCTAAACTCTCTGATGTAGTGGACCAGGCAGTCTGGTTCAGGAGCTAGGAGCCTAAAATCTCTGATGTAGTGGATCAGGTGGGCTGGTTCAGGAGCTAGGAGCCTAAACTCCCTGATGTAGTGGATCAGGTGGGCTGGTTCAGGAGCTAGGAGCCTAAACTCTCTGATGTAGTGGACCAGGCAGTCTGGTTCAGGAGCTAGGAACCTAAACTCTCTGTTGTAGTGGATCAGGTGGGCTGGTTCAGTAGCTAGGAACCTAAACTCTCTGATGTAGTGGACCAGGCAGTCTGGTTCAGGAGCTAGGAGCCTAAAATCTCTGATGTAGTGGATCAGGTGGGCTGGTTCAGGAGCTAGGAGCCTAAACTCCCTGATGTAGTGGATCAGGTGGGCTGGTTCAGGAGCTAGGAGCCTAAACTCTCTGATGTAGTGGACCAGGCAGTCTGGTTCAGGAGCTAGGGACCTAAACTCTCTGATGTAGTGGATCAGGTGGGCTGGTTCAGTAGCTAGGAACCTAAACTCTCTGATGTAGTGGACCAGGCAGTCTGGTTCAGGAGCTAGGAGCCTAAACTCCCTGATGTAGTGGATCAGGTGGGCTGGTTCAGGAGCTAGGAGCCTAAACTCCCTGATGTAGTGGACCAGGTGGGCTGGTTCAGGAGCTAGGAGCCTAAACTCTCTGATGTAGTGGACCAGGTGGGCTGGTTCAGTGTATCAGAAGTTCATTGCATGTTGTGTATCTTTAACTCACTCTGTTCTGTTTCCCAGCCTGATAGCATCATGAAAGCGTTGTGGCCTGTCGGAGGAGAGGTCGACATGAAGTTGGTCCAGGCATCTGAATATATCACTGATGCTGCCAACGAATTCCGCATCCGTCTCAAGGTGTACACAGCACCAGGCAAAGGGAAGGTAAGGTGTCGAAAGGCAGATCCAGGTTAGAATTGGTCTGGAGGAACTCATGCTTTTCGTAAGAGGCGACTAACAGGATCGGGTGGTCAGGCTCGTTGACATGGTCAATGCATGCCAACATGTCCGACTTGCATTGATTGCTCATGATGTCAATCACTTGATTGTCTGGTCAAGACTCAGTTGTTTACCGACCACCATCTCGTAGCTGGAAATTTGATTATTTAGGTGTTTCACAATTAGTATAGGTCATAATGCAGATGTTAAAGGATAGTGTGTTTGTCAGGTGAGATATTTCATCAGCTAATGATCACTTCCAGAAAGGTCCTCCTGCTCCCAGTCAGGCCACAGTGTGGGTGGCGAAGACGTTCCCGCCGTGGCAGAGTGCCGTCCTCACCAAGCTGAAGGAACTACACACGGTGAGAATACAACTTCCAGATCTGTCATTATAAACTCATACAACATAGACTTACACAGGAATCAACCTGATGCCGTAGGATGCACATTCTATAGTTATATTGCAGCTGTGTTAATTGCATCACACGGACCCTGTTCCACTAAATAATCTAAGTGCAAGGGCTCTCAAAACTTTGTGTTTAGGTACAAGAATGAAGGCAATCCTAGCACAATGATTGCACTGCGGAATTAGCCCTTGGTGTGTGAAAAAGATGCATCAAGCTTATTGAACTTGGTAACGTGGCCCAAAGACAAGGGTGATAACTCTGTAACTATTTCCTTGCATGATTATTTGCATTGGTTGATGTGTCCTCACACAATGATTATCTTCTTGCAGCCGGAGACAGGTCTCCCTGAAAACAAGGTGATAGCCACTGAATTGAAGGACAGGCCTGAACTGAAGAAATACATGAAAAAATTGATGCCTTTTGTGCAACTAGTGAAGGTAAGCTGACATATTTATTTACAGGGGTAGGTGGAGTAGCCTAGTGGTTTAAGCGTTCGCTCGTCACGCCGACAACCCAGGTTCAAGTCCCCACATAGGCACAATGTGTGAGGCACATTTCTAGTGGTCATGCCATTATATTGCTAAAAGCGACGTTAAACCATACTCAATCACTCACTATTTATTTACAGACACCCTTAATTGCTGGAACCCATGAAGATCTGGGTTAGAATGGGTCTTCGGCAACCCATGCTTGTCGTAAGAGGTGACTAACGGGTTTGTGTTGTCAGGCTCACTGACTTGGTTGACACAGGTCATTGTATCCCCATTGTGTAGGTCGAAGCTGATGTTGTTCATCACTGGATTGTCTAGACATATTTGTCCACATAGGAAAAACCCTATCTTAACTTTATTGGAATGTCTATTGAAAGGAGAGACCCTGAACATAGTTTCTAAATGATTACCTCTGTTATTGTTTCACTGTCTTCAACACTGGCAGACACACTATGATGGAGTTTCATGAGATTATTATTTTTTATTCTGTTTGATAGGAAAATTTTGCCAAACAAGGAATGAAAGCTCTGGCGCTGAGAGTGGACTATGATGAGACCGAAATACTGAAGACGAGTCTGAAGTACTTGACATATACCCTGGAGGTGAGTGACTGAATGAACATTGTGAGGTGAGTGAGTTTAGTTTTACGCCGCACTCAGCAATATTCCAGCTATATGGCAGTGGTCTGTAAATAATCGAGCTGGACCAGACAATCCAGTGATCAACAGCATGAGCATCGATCTGCGTAATCGGGAACCGATGACATGTGTCAACCAAGTCAGCGAGCCTGACCACCCGATTCCGTTAGTCGCCTCTTACGACAAGCATGGGTCACTGAAGACCAATTCTAACCCGGACCTTCACGGGTCACCAAGATGAAGGAGCCTTTTTTTTAAAGATATCAACCTCTGTAATATATTGTTATTTTATTGAGAATTTACTCCTGCAATAGATGGAAGGAAAGTTGTTCTAGCAATTGTGAATGATGTAGAATGCATGGACTTAGTGACCTCAAGGTTGCAACATGTGTAGCCATTGCTGGCATCCCTGGCAAATGTCTGGAGTAGATACTTTTTCCATCATGAAACCAAATTTACTGACCATGGAAAATAATGGAGCAATTTCAGACTTTATCCATTGGTCTGAAGCGCCAGCCTTGTAAACTTTCTAAGGTTTAGGAAGATCACATAATACTTGTTTATGAACTAAGACTAATACTACATTTTCTCACCATTTATACAATAGTAGTTGAAGCTACTAGATATGCAGTTGTACATTTGTAAATTAACATATAGAATGGGATTTTTGGGTACTGTTACACTTTTGTAGAATTTTATTCAGTATTCCTGTGAGCATTGACTCTGAGATGGTAGCATTTCTTTGAAAACCTGATAAGGTTTCAGAAACAGTATACATCATGGTAATGTCACTCCCTCTTACGAGGGGGAACCTCATGTTGATACAACAGATAGAACGTGTGAAATTGAAATTTCTCTACACACGCTTGTTGATTACCTGGCTGTTCTACCAGCAAGTAGTTCAAAATAGCGAAAAGTGACAACAAAATAATGATCATTTGTTAAACAACTTTTTTTATTCGGGTCTCTAATATTATGAGACAAATCATCACAGTTGGTCTGTCGATTTCATGTGACTGCAAAATTTGGTTTTGTTGCAATTATTTGATTTTGTGTTAGTGAGCAATTCATCAGTCTCAAATGAAATCAAACGGGCTTTAGATATTTTTGTCTTTTCAGGAAACACAAAACTGATTGTCTTATGTACACTTATGTCACATGTTTATTTAAAGATTCAAAAGAGTGACTTATCTGAGTGTCTTTATTACTATTACATGTACATGATGGTTGTGGCATTCATGTCAGTTTCAGGTAATTCATCATCAAAATCGTTGTTAAATGAGATGGGTAGGCACAGATTGAGACTAAAACAATTAATCATTTGTGGCCTTTAGTCTGTAATTCCTCATAACTCAGACTCTAAATATTTGGTATAAATCTTATCTAGTTTAATGAACAATTCCTGCTGTCCCTCTAGCTGGAGAAGATCGACATCAGGTTCTCTGAAGATGCGGATGAAAAGGTTCAACAAGACTGCTGCCCAGGAAAGCCTTTCATCACCTACAGAACAGAAGTAAATACACGAACCTATCTTGGGATATTTTCCATGTTTTATGCCTCAGTTGGGATTCCAGGTCCAAATAGGTTCTTATGTTTTTTTCATAGGTGCCAGCTAGAATGGGTATTGGGTGGACAGGCTTTGTGACATGACTCACATACAGTCGAGTACTGTTTACACGGACAGTTTGGTTACGTCTGAATATCGTCCGGATAGCGAGTTGTCCGGCTATTTGAATTTACCAAGAAAACACATTCGGGAGTTGCACAATTAAATTTATTCTTTCAGATTTACATATTTAGCACACACATAATAAAAAACACGTGATAGACAACAACAACCATCAGTAATAGGATTGGTATACATAAACATGTAAACTAGCACTAGATACTGTAGATAAATTTACAATGTACGCACATGTGCCTTTATGAAGTAAAGAAGTCTGTGAGCACCGTCTGTTTCGTAGCTTTAATGTCTGTTGTATTCATTGCTAACAAGACTCTTAATTGCATTTCCTCACTGCCAAATCGTACTTCATGGTGTATGTGTTGACAAGTAATTAACAAAGACACACATCAAATAACGGTTGTCCGATAAGCATTAGCTCACATGCATGCGCCCTTTGTCACCAATCGCCTCTTTCCGTGGCTTGTCCCGGAATAAAACGAGTTGGTCACGAATGATGGATGCGCCTTCCTGTCAGTAAGTAAGCCTTCTGGGTAATCAGGTCAACTCTTAATGGAAGTAATAGGAAATGGATTTAAAAATCATAGTCCAGGTCCAGAAGCGTGTGAGTCCGAGTATGTGAGTACATTTAAAGATGAAATGTTTTCAGTTAAAAACTCATGCGGAAGGTGGGATTTCCGGAAATACAGAGTCCTAGTTAATGAGTCTCGACTGTGTATGTCATAGTACCTCAGTCGGGGGGGGTGAGGGGTAGCCTAGTGGTTAAGGCGTTTGGCTGTCACACCCACATGGGTACAATGTGTGAAGCCCATTTCTGGTGTCCCCTGGCATGATATTGCTGGAATATTGCTTAAGATGGCATAACACTAAACTCCCTCTTTCACTCACCTCAATGGAGTGGGTTGCCCCTCAGTCTTTATCACTGGTTCGATGTAGGAGGGAGCCCAAATGGGTATTGGATGGGCAGGCGCTATTGTTTGACCATTGTGTGCTTCACAATCTGTGTTACTGGCTTGATACAGAAGCAAGCTCAGTTGGGTATTGGATGGGTAGGCTCTATTGTTTGACCATTGTGTGCTTCACAATCTGTGTTACTGGCTTGATACAGAAGCAAGCTCAGTTGGGTATTGGATGGGCAGGCTCTATTGTTTGACCATTGTGTGCTTCACAATCTGTGTTACTGGCTTGATACAGAAGCAAGCTCAGTTGGGTATTGGATGGGCAGGCTCTATTGTTTGACCATTGTGTGCTTCACAATCTGTGTTACTGGCTTGATACAGAAGCATGTTTAGTTGGGTATTGGATGGGCAGGCTCTATTGTTTGACCATTGTGTGCTTCACAATCTGTGTTACTTGCTTGATACAGAAGCAAGCTCAGTTGGGTATTGGATGGGCAGGCTCTATTGTTTGACCATTGTGTGCTTCACAATCTGTGTTACTGGCTCGATACAGAAGCATGTTTAGTTGGGTATTGGATGGGCAGGCTCTATTGTTTGACCATTGTGTGCTTCACAATCTGTGTTACGGGCTTGATACAGAAGCATGTTTAGTTGGGTATTGGATGGGCAGGCTCTATTGTTTGACCATTGTGTGCTTCACAATCTGTGTTACTGGCTTGATACAGAAGCAAGCTCAGTTGGGTATTGGATGGGCAGGCTCTATTGTTTGACCATTGTGTGCTTCACAATCTGTGTTACTGGCTTGATACAGAAGCAAGCTCAGTTGGGTATTGGATTGGTAGGCTCTATTGTTTGACCATTGTGTGCTTCACAATCTGTGTTACTGGCTTGATACAGAAGCAAGCTCAGTTGGTTATTGGATGGGTAGGCTCTATTGTTTGACCATTGTGTGCTTCACAATCTGTGTTACTGGCTTGATGCAGAAGCAAGCTCAGTTGGGTATTGGATGGGTAGGCTCTATTGTTTGACCATTGTGTGCTTCACAATCTGTGTTACTGGCTTGATACAGAAGCATGTTTAGTTGGGTATTGGATGGGCAGGCTCTTTAGCTTGGGCTTTGTGTGCCATCGCAACTCAGTGGAGTGGATTGTTTCTCAGTCTTTATCATGGGTGTCGTGTTCCACAATATATTTTATCTCGTATGCAAAAATACAGCTGAAATATTGCTGGCTGTGGGTGCCATGTATTTCAACTCAGTTGACAAATAGCTACATTACTCTGATTGCTTTATTGTTATAACAGCTTTTCCCTAATTTTATCATTCATTTTCAGCCAAATGTACTTATAAAGTTGCTAAATCCTCAGCCATATTGTGGCCTGTTCGAGACCACAGTGCCAGTTTTCCAGGGGGACACATACCAGCAGATTCTCACCAGACTCAATAAGATGGAGAGGTCAAAGATCAAAGGTGGGTCAAGATCTCATAGATATCGTCAAGTAATATCATTCATGAACACTCATGGCATGTTACAGGTGAATCTGGACTCAAGGTATCCCAGGGATGGTAGCCATGAGTAGAGACATTATGTGGTCAAAATGGCTGCCAAATTAGGTTGTTTTGGAATATGTGATCAGCTATGAGGGCCAACTCTCAGGGAGGTCTGGATTAACATATATTCTCAATCTACTTGCACGTATATCCGTGAGATCCGGGTTAGAGTTGGTCTTCAGCAACCCATGCTTGTCGAATGAGGCGACTAGCAGGATCAGGTGGTCAGGCTTGCTGATTTGGTTGACACATGTCATCCTATCCCAATTTGGTAGATCCTGTTCACTTGCTCCCACTCTGTTTCAGAGAGGCGTTGGGGTAGCCAAGTGGTTAAAGCGTATGCTCATCACACTGAAGGCCCGGGTTTGTTTCCCCACATGGGTACAATGTGTGAAAACCATTTCTGGTGTCCCCCGCCATGTTATTGCTGGAAAATTGCTAAACGGCATAATACTAAACTCACTCACTCACTTTGTTCAGACCTGTCCTCGGTAGTGATGCTGAGGTACGAGGACCCAGTGGTGGGACCAAGACAGCTCCCTGACATGAACAATCTCAAGAAAGGACTTGTTGCCATTAGCAACTCCTCTGTGTTCAGCATCAGTGTGGACAAGAACAAAGTGACTGTGGCAGAAGGAGGCAAGACAAATTCTGTAGGACATCGCCTGGTTTATATGTTCAAGTCAAACTAACTTAATCCGAATTGAAGAGATCGCAGATCACAAGAGGAGATGTCTCAATTTCACATGTTTACATCATGCAACTATTTATTTTGTGTGTGTGTGTGAGAGAGAGAGAAAGAGAGAGAGAGGAGAGAGAGAGATGGGTACAATATGTGTTAAGCCCATTTGTGGTGTCCCCCACCATATATGTTGCTGGAATATTGCTACAATCCCAAATCACTCACTACCATGCTACCGGGTACCCATAGGTGAACCAAGACATATATCCTACAAAATCACAGATACCCATTTGTACTACATGTGCTTCAGTCGGGACAGTACTACATGTGCTTCAGTCAGGACAGTACTACATGTGCTTCAGTCGGACACGGCCAAAGGGGGAGAAACTCTGAGGAGTCAGTCTGCCATCCCCACTCATCAGCTTTCCACAACCACAACTTGATTTTTATATCTGTACGCATTCCAAGAAAACCCCAAGGGGAAATCTACAATGTACTGACCCAGACAATGCTTCACTACACTGATATCTACTGCGCAGAAGGAATTGACTCTTATCAGGAGCATGTCACTTCGCATATTGATCAATGAGACATACAACAGGTCCTCCAGCCAACCTAACCGTTAGAACTGTTGATTGATTGTTAAGCTGTGTATTATATATTATTTACAGACTGCGGCCATGTAGCTGGAATATTGATGAGTGCTGGATAAACTCTGCTGTATAAACATCTCATTATCATTTGTACATCATTGGCTTCCACGCCTGTCCTTTGTCTACTCTCTGGCTTCATCAGCTCTCTGCCTAGCCAATTACATGTATGTTAATTATGTTGTTTTCTTTGTTACATTGTTACATCCAGTATATATACACTTCCCCCTTCTTCATGTTCAATTATGCTTGACAAGGGTACAAGAATCTGTATCGAAACGTCGCACTCACGAATAGAAAGAAGTTGTTATCCATAAAGTTTGTTCTATACTGTCCATTGTTGTAATAAACTGTATATATATGCTCACATCTACATGTATATTGAAAAACAGAGTAGGAGTCCGGTATTCCGACTGCCTATAAGGACGACCACGAGCAGGAAAATGCCGCCAGTTGGAAACGCCCTGGGGTTGAGCAGGTACTCCGCTCACCTCATTTATATCTTGTGTATTTGTTTGACATGTAACTAAAGAAGTTTGAACTCAACGTATTCCTTCCTCTTGTCAACGTATTGTACATACACTTCGTCTTAATTCAGAGCTAGTTACCCTGTCGACCATATACAACACGTTGACATTATACATGAGAGCACTGTATATTTACACTGCAGTACAACAGCATGTGGGGTTGCACTTGTACACAGAAGACGTAAAATTAACATAATGTTTTTTTAGTGTGATCAGTTGCTTGGTCATGTCACATGCGTGCCTGGTACGTTGATGATCTTATTGTTGGGTTTGTTTACAAGCTGGTGGTGTTACGTAGCAGGAGTGGTGGTTGTTGTATGTGGGGCAAAGCTGTTTGTTCATGTCACATTCTCATAACTGAGTTTTAGTGATCCGTTCATGTTTATTTCACCGCGGTTTTGTCGGTTTTGTCTGTTTGTACTCGGTGGAATCGAATTCTGCGTTTATAGGCATTATTACATTATTTCTGTGTTTCTCATCGTCCAACAGACTATAACCCGTGAAGATCCGGGGTAGAATTGGTCTAAGAGGCGACTAACGGGATCAGACTCGCTGCCTTGGCTGACACATGTCACCGTATCTCAGTTGCGTAGATCGATGTTGTTAATCACTGGATTGTCTGTCCCAGGCTCGATTTTTTACAGATCGCCGTCATATACAGGGGCGGATAAAGCTTTTGAGAAGGGGGCTAGTGCACACTATTGAGAAAAGGAAGGGTGCACACTTCATTTTTACCTGAGTATCAATGGTCATTTAACAAACTTTCAGCACAAAAGCGGGTGTGCGCACCCCTGCACTCCCCTCTGGATTCGCCTATGATATAGCTGGAATATTGCTGTGTGCGGCGTTAAACAACTAACCAACCAATCATTGAAATGCCTCTTTCCTGTGTCAGCGCTTGGATGAAGGTAGAGGAGAAGCGTAAATTAACAAGAAAGCTAAGCGCTAGGTAATACTATTCTCCTTTCGTGCATTTCATTTATAAATACATTACTATGTATTACAGTGTACAAAATACGTTTTAATGACTGATATGTACTACTTTGTGACAGCAACATCTTATTCAATCTAATTTGATGTTCTCTGTCCCTTTACTTTGGTGTTCTAGAGGCGACTAACGGGATCGGGTGGTCAGACTCGCTGACTTGGTTGACACATGTCATCGTTTCCCAGTTGCTTAGGTCGATGCTCATGCTGTTGATCACTGGATTATCTGGCCCAGACTCGATTATTTACGTAACAACGCCATATAGCTGGAATATTGCTGAGTGCGGCGTAGAATTAAACTCAATCAAATAATTGTTGTTGTTGTTCTCCTCTGCTTAAGCTTGCAGTGAATCTGTGATGCGATTTCAAAACCTGACAACAAATCATCTTTCTGTATAAATCTTGTATTTCTTGAATACCAAAGAAAACAGAATAAATAAGTTTTTAAGACAGGTCGTTTTTTTCTTTTCCACACGCAGACTTCTCAGTTCTAAACCGCCAGAATAAATCGGAATCGAGGCTGTAGATGTCTTGTGTCCTTATGAAGAGATCTAAAAATATGTATTTTTTATTGTATACCGACCGACCGAGTTTAGATGACGGTGGCTACGTGAAACACATAAATAAAAGTACCCCCCTTGCCGAGACTGTTCTCATTGTACATGTATATTTGAGATACCTGTGGCTCTCGAGTTACTTGGACTTTCTGGTACATGTGTGTTAAAAGTTTTATCTATCCTATGGCTTGCCAAGTACACGTATACACCCGCAGTCATCAATCACTGATAGTAGATAGGGGTGGGTATTGCAGAGAATATTCATATTGCGATATATTGCGATGCGAAAGCATGCATTGCGATATGCATTGCAATATATTGCATGAAGTATTTTTAAACAAAAAACTACTTATAATCGAGTTACTGCTTGATTTATAGAGCAAAAACACAACAAAATCACTATGCTTGATTATGCTTTAGTAACAAATTTAATCATGATAAAATAAAAATGTGAATAATATTTGGCACAAATGAAACAAGGAAATATCCGAAGATTTCCGAGTGTTACGACGTTTTCCGAATGCATGTCAAAATACCGGTTTTTCGATCAGCGTATCGCAATACGTATCGTTTTCATGTCTGAACCGGTAAATACCGGTAAACCGGTTATATATAGCGCAGCCCTAATAGTAGACGTTGAATCGCAATCGAAATCGAATGGTGTAACTTTGTTTGTCATAATACTGTTGTATAAATGTATGTTCGCTGTACACGACCCGTACCAGTAAGCCCTCAGTCAATCTGGCTGAGTTATTACAATGTGATTTAGAATGACAATGTTGCAATTGCGTTGTATTCCTTTTGTTAAGATTAAGTTAACAATGTGTTCTGAGTCATGCCATTCTTTAGTTGTCAGAAATGTTTTGCTGTCTGATGTAAGCAGTGATGTGGACTTTTTGGAGTCAAGTGTGTTCTGGAATCACCCGACCGCCTCCGTGGTGTGGTGGTTAGAGCGTCCGCCCGGAGAGCGGAAGGTCGCGGGTTCGATCCCCGACCGCGTCAAACCAAAAGACGTTAAAATATGGTACTTGTTGGTCCCTGTCTGGCGCTCGGCATTAATGGGTACAACAAGGACTGGTCGGCTCGGAGTCAGTATAATGTGTCTGAGTGGGGTATTCATGCTTCACTGCGGCATGGTATCTCAGTGCGCTAGCACTATAAAACCAGCTGAAGTCTGGGCTAGTACAATCAGCCGCACATACACATACACACGCTTGCACGTCGTCATGTGAGCGAAATATTCTCAAGCACGACGTTAAACCCAACTGTTGATTAGGTGTGTGCCTTGTCGAATCCGGGATTATCTTGAGAATAGAAACGGACTCAGATAATAAGAATAAGTTCAACTTTTTTTATGGTAAATGACGGTACGATGGCCGCTTTGGCCAGTCTTCAAACAAATTGGTCATCAGACGTTCAACGACACGTGCAAATCGGAGCAGATGTCCTTCTTACACTATTAAACTGTTTATATTATTAAAATAAATTAAACATCCCCGTTTTTTGTGACATCCCCTACTTTCTATGCTCTGTTGGCATTCGGATGTGAATGAGTGAGTTAACATTTAGAGTCACATCGGCAATATTTCAGCCATATCGTGACGAGAATAATTTCATTTATGTCAATTTTAAAATAAAAAAATATAGAACGTAAAAACCTGTCATCAAAGGACAGTAAAAATACTAGAGTATCACAGCTCTTAATTTAAAACTAGCATGTAAAACTAAAACATTTTAAACCAAGAAGACAATGCAATATAAAACTCGGGCTATAGATCGCCAACAACTGAAGGTAGATCACCATACGAGGGACCATGGGGCCTTACAGTGCTTTTGCTACCTGCCATTCGGATGTAAGTATATGCATGTCGAATCAGTCTTATCACAGAATAGTAGCGATTCACACGTAACATCAGCCATCAGTGGCCATTGTTTACCTAAAACCTGACTATAGAAGCAGGGATGTTCAGGTCTTGGAGACAGAGTATCACTGAGCACTCCCCTGTACCCATGCTCTTTGTTCCTTGTTTCCTTGCAACATGACAAACGTGATGAAGCTGAATTGTTTCAGACGACATGATTTAATTCTTCAATGTGTATATAACAGAACTAAACTGACATACAATAAACACACATCTTGTTTTGGGCGATTATTATAAAACAAATGCCACAAAGTAAACATAAGTGTTTTGCTTGTGACTAACAAGTCACAAACATTGTGTACGTGCTGCAAAACATCTCGGGCACCCTTTACACGGTGTGAGATGTCATGAAAACTCGTCATTTTGGTGATGATATTAGATCATAAAGCGCATTCAGCTGAGAGTGTTAGTTGTATACCTGTTAATGGCACACAATTATACGCCATGGTTCCCAGCAGCGGAACGAGAACGAGCCCTTGTAATGTTGCAGATGGGGGAATTGTATCGCCATATTGCTGAATAAGGCAGACCTATTGTGGCTCATTCGGGTCATCGCTTTAGATTTTTCAGGGCGATAAAGCGATGGCCCGAATGAGCCACCATACATACCATCATCAGACAAATAAAACGACTCAACCGCACTGGCCAGACATCTGTAAGTACCAGAACTGGAAGACCGACAGTGATCACCCCTCAAGATGACCGCCAGCTACGCATTCTTCATTCTTCATCTGTGCTTACACATGCTCACAGCAACGTCATCAACATCTTTGGGTCACTGCGAAAGTACACAGTGACGAGACGACTGCTTGCTGAGGGCATCCGGACCTATCAACCATTTAGGGATATGTTAGTAGCCCGTCAGCATCGACTGAATCGTGTACGCTGGACAAGGAAAGTGTGGCGTTGACAACGTCGCAATAGGGTTCGATAACTGCGACGTTTTGCCAACACTTGCACAATGTTTGTGAATTGTAAGTCGCAATCAATACAATTTTAAAATCATTTATATTGTGTTTTGAAAAAAACCCTCCCCAAACAACTAAGTGTATAGTTTCTTGTGTTCGTCAGTTTACCTGC